TGACGGTGATTCGTATACCCGCAAAACGAGCTTTTAATTATACTCACTCCGAGCTGAAGGAATGTCAAGTAAAATATCAAAACAATTTGGCTTCCGATTACTCCTCCAATGGATTGCACCGTCACGAAATGATACCATAATTCGAATTAAATGCACGCAACGCGATATCGTTGCGCTATCTGAATGATAATGATGCTATATCGATTTTTGTGTGGAAGGCGAGCGTGGGTGAGGGCAGGAGGGTGAGTTATTCCAGAAAAACTTGAATGCAGCAGCAACCAATTTTAACACGACATGGGTCGGTGCGCAATTGAAAATTGATAGCAGCATGACTGGAATTTCTCTCTCTCTCTCTCTCTCCCTCTCTCTCTCTCTCTCTCTCTCTCTCTCTCTCTCTCTTATCCTCACTCATTCGCCTCTTTCCAGTTATTTTCTTCCCTCTCACCTCTCGCCTTGCTCTCTGCTTCCGATCCAGTTCAGCAAAATATAAATGAATTTCGATTTCAAACGGCGGCCAACAAATTTTCGCCGATAAACAGCAGCACGGATTTATTGAATGTGGAACATCGATTTAGAGTCTCGTTAATTCAACTGATTCAATGCCGATGCCAATGAGATAAAGACGAAACTTTTCCACTTATTCCCTCATTGAAGCAGTCAATGAGAAGCGACAAAAGAAAAGAACAAAACAAACTTGTGATGAAGTGATCAAACGATGCCAAAATTGATTAGGGATTTAGACAGCCCGGATGAAGTCATAATGCGTAGTAAAATGGCCGCTTTTATGGCATTTAATTTGAAATTAATTACGCGAATAATCCGTCTTATTTTAATTCAATCAAATTTTAGATCCCAACGCCATCTGTCTCGCTGTCTTTTATTTCTAACACTTTAATCCTCGCGTACGCGTGGTTTTATAGAGGGATTTTTTCCCGTTATTCTCCAATATACCAAACCATTTCTTTTTTTCGTTCGATGCCACGCGACAAATTCAAATTAATCCCAATCGAATGCGATGGTATGTGGTGGTGGTGTTTCGTTTGTTATTCTTTTTTTCTCGAACTCTCGTCGTCACCATAAAACACAAATCAATAAAGAATCGGTTCGCAATTGAAGTATTTTAATCACACGTTCGATTGTTTGACATTCGATTACCGAATTGGAATGCATCGAACGAGCGAACGAGCTAACGGCTGCTTTTAATTTAAATTGAAATATCCGAAATGGTTATTTTTATAGTTTACTTGATAGTGAATGCATTTTTTTCTGTGTTTATTGTGCCATTGGTTTGTGAACGTTGAATTCCATCGAAACGTACGAAATTCTATAAAAAGCATTAGTCGCATTTCATCACGTTGAATCGGATGATGACGACAACGACGACGACATAAAAAAACGCAGTTTGAAAATTGAACAAAAAAAATCCGAGCGGATGAAAATCGGTATACTCAACAGACTATGTGTTGAACGTTTCACATGCTCAGTTCGTCTCACGCTGCCAATCATTTGTTTCAATCATCGTCATTATCATGCGCCATTTCGAATTCACAATGCATCGACAACCCCGGCATGTGTTTATATCAACATCATCCAGGATATTATTTGATTGTTTTTGTCTGAACTAGCGAACGAAACGTACTGACGACGACGATGACGACGAGCGACAGAAAAAAAAGAAAGAAATAGCAATAGCAGCTTCGCCCGCTTTACAAAATTAAATCAAGAGCACAATGTACCAACAATGCGTACGACGGGCTCTTCTCTCTCTCTCTCTCTCTCTCTCTCTCTCTCTCTCGTTAGATAAGAGAAAAAACAACAATAAGCGATTCATGTATTCAATCATCTGTGAATGCAATAAGTCCTCGTTCCATTCAAGCATACACATATATCAATGCACGAGTCAGAGACTTTTCGAAAACCTTTATCAACAGCATCACATGATCCTGTCAACATCATGCGCGCACACTTTCAACTGATATCTCAATTTGATTGCCGATCCAACCCGTTCTCATTTTTCTGTCTTCAAACGAAATGCAAGGAGCATACGCCAATGTGTGTGTACGAATTCAAAGTCAACGGGTTACTCTTGTTGATTTATCCGTTTGCTTCAATAACGACAACGACGACGGTACTTTTTCAAAGATGTGATATTTGCTGTAACTTAACTCGAGTATTCAAAAAGTTAATTTCCGAACTTTGTCACACACACACATGGGAAGAGTTTGGCGCGCGGAGAGTGTATCATCCAGAGAAAGAGAAAACGAATTTTGCATACACAATTTATAGAAAAAAACGAATATATGCAAATGTTCAATTTTGCTCCGACGATTTCCAAACCCCATCCTTCCTTCAAAAATACTCTTCAAGTACGTTGTCTTTTGTCGTTTTGCTCCTCATTCGGCACTTCGTTTGCTTTGAGCATGAGCATTCAATTGATATATACGTACTTATTTTTATTGAACATCGTTTGAACTATGTAAATAAAAAAAAGAGATGCAAAACACGAAAATATGCATACGATGAGAAACCCCACTCAAACAAAAGAGGAAGTTACGGTTTGATGTGAAACCCCTTTCGCTGTTGAATCTATTTCAAATAAACACATGATATTATTGAAATAGAATGTTCGGGAACGAATGGAAAAAAATGCCGCTCTTCGGAGATGCTTTTCATCTTCATCATATACACATATGTGCTGCTTCATTTTCGCGAAAGTCACTTTCAAAACGACCTTTTTTCAACTCGTTGTTGTCGTCGTCGTCATTTCACCCAAGTTCATGTCTCACTCGAAAAGTTTGCCAAACATCAAGTAAATATGATGAAATTAATTTCATCGACATCAAAGGGGTAGTACACACACACACACATATTTGCAGCTCAAAGCCACTTATGACAAATAGCTTATTGATGCAACAATGTATGCTTCATGCGCTCATTCCCAAGTAAATTTCATAAACTGTCCAACTTGTGTGACGTGCTTTGTTGCATGGCACATGACATTTTTTTCTGTCAACCCCGCATTTTTTTTTTCGTTCGCCAGCGTTTCTTTCCCTCATTCTTCGTTCATTCTGTTTGCATCAACTCAATAACATAATAACAAAGCGCTCGAACATAATTTTCTTCTTTCATTTTTACGACCTGGAAACATAATTAAAAATCGTCCGATTACAACGGAGCAAAAATGGAAAACTAGATAAAGAAATCTCCCTTTCTTTTCCGTGTCACACGCAACTGTGCATTTTTTGCTACATTTTTATGATGACAGCAGAGAAAGCTATAAGAAAAAAAAACAACAACAATGAATGTGATTTTGTGCCACACACAAAAGACTAAATGAAAAAAATCGCATTTTTTTCGTTCCTCCCTTTCCGTGCGCATTTTCAAAAGAGATCGTTGGTTCGATGAGAAAAAACCAGTTATGTTGACCTGCTTACAGGAAATCACCTTGGCAGTTCGAGGCATTTTTAATCATCTGGTTCAAGGCGCTTTAATTTCGTTTTGCCGAAGCTGGGTGGAACTTTTCTAGCCAGAGAACGTATAAAAACAACTTTGTCTGTAATCTTTTGTATTTAAATCATGGTTGTGATCATTTTCTTAGTTCATGACACACGAACAAAAGGCGTCTAATATCGAGAGAGAGAGAGAGAGAGAGAGAGAGAGAGAGAGAGAGAGAAAGAGAAGAAAAGAAAGAAGCAGAAAAAAAACATTTAATATATATACCGACGGAAACATGAACGATGACGCAAACTATTATCTAAATGACAGTGCCAGTAGTTAGACGAAGAGAAGGAAATTCCGTTCATTTTCATTCTCGTCGATAGCAGCAGCACAAAGAGAGAGAGAGAGATAGAGACGGGATATATAAATATGAATGGAACTTTTTAAAATTATCAGCATGCACTTGGCTTGTGCTTCCATTTCACCAATCTACGACTACTCTGTATTCATAATAATAATAGAATGAAGAGATGAATCTTCCTATAAATTAAATTGATTCTACAGAGCAGTTGTGGTGCGTGCACAAGGCAATATTATTCATTCGCTTTACTTTTGCTTCTGCTTTTTTACTCTACTTCAAACTTCTGGATGACAGCAATCGATTGCGTGCAATGAAGATTGAATTTTTTGTGTCGTCCCGTTCAGTAACTCTCTCACTCTCTTCTATTACATTCAGTACAACTTCTCGTCGCTGTCGAAAGATAGTTTTCGTGTTATTTATCATAAGTTTTGTCTGTGCATATGCCATCCGAATAAACTGACTCGAAACGAAAGTAAATGATCGAAAACTCAAACAATATGACTTCGTTTTTTTCTTTCTTTCTTGATAGTTAATAAACTTGATAGTTTATTATCGACTGGTTTTGCCATCAATTTTCGGTTTTCAGGCAATATCTTATATCAAACTTCAGAAAGAGAAAGGCGAAAATAGACGATCCGATTAGATTTGGCCACGTGAAACAAAATCATGATAAATATTCTCTGTTCAAGAAGTAGAACGCTTGTTTTTTTTCTTCTTCAGCACGAAATTTGTTATCTTGTCGATAAAAATGCTTTTAATTTTAGGCCGATTTTTCAAAGCAAAAAGTCAGTCGACTTTTGATCGATTTGTAAAGTTTGTCTCTAGCTGCGAAAAGAAACGAAAAACGAACGAAGAGAAAAAAAAGCCAGAACACTTTCCAGATGAATAATTGCACATGGAAATTTATGTTTGCGGATTTTCGTGACACAATTCAGGTCGTGACGATCTGGTCGTTGTTGTCGTTCTTAAGAATAAACTCAGAATTCCGTGTCTTATTCAGCATAATCTTTGTTTTGATCTTTGTCAAGGTATGTTCTTCACCGTCATGTGCACAACACGCAGCATCAAACACTCTTTTTTCATCGAAAAATGAAAATAATTTAATTAGAACTCAAGTTGGACTGAATTAAAAAAGAAAAAATCCAAACCCTATTCATTCCATCCAATGCTAATATTTGTTTTCCTCTTGTTCTCGTTACAGGTATGTGAAAAAAGCCAGACATCAAGTCTTCGTGACACCAGATCTTTAGCTAAAAGCCATCCATTCGACTTGGTATGCGGCCAAAGAGCCGATATAACGACCCACCCAAAAAAATGATGCTCTCTCATCCAACGAGCGCGCAATATGCGCATTCAATTTTCACGCCTCGTTGCCTATCTCAACACATTTCCCTTCGTTTTTTAATTTCTTAAAATGGCGCAAATTGAAAAGCATCTCCAAATTTGTACGGAGTGTGCGTGCGTCTATGTTTATTTGTTGTGTGTTTTGTCTCCACATTGAAATGTGCTATTGTTCATGCATTTTTGATCAACATTTACGCCACTTATCTTGTCGCACCGCAATTTATTCGCGTTGCGTTGACAGTCCGCAAGATAAATTGTAGGTAGATTAATCTTTGTGCGCTCCATATAAAGTATATATGTCAGTGGTGGTGGTGGTTGTGTTGGTGTTGTGCATTGCACACACGAAATGCTCACGTACCGAAAATGTTGATTAATACCGAAATGTGTACACTGTACAGCGCTCGGAAGAAATACAAATGTATCATCGTCGCAATTTTGCGACAAGAGAAAATAAAATTTGACTGATTGTGACAACGAAACCTACATCGTCGTCGTCATCATCATCGTTGTGTGGCATTTTGTGTGTTGTTTGTAGAATCACAAATTAAGCAGCGACGCGTGTTTTGATGCACTCGATGCCATTTTAAGGTGACGTTTGTGTTACGCGGAAAAACCTTATCTTCAATTGCCAAATGTTTTGCGTCAATTTAATCGAATTAGATAAAGTGGCCCAGACGATATGCTGTAATGGCAAAAAGAAGCAAAACCGAAATCAGAACCGTTTTGCTGTTGCTACTGCTGCTGCTGCTTGCAATGAGTGTACCAAAATGCGATTATTATTATAGATGGCGGCATTTAAGTGGATGAATGGTGTACTTGTAAAGTTCTTGTGCACCATCCGAAAATAAGTATCTCTGGGCGCGTGTTTAAAACTCATTTATTTTAACTATATGTATGTTAATTTTCATTTGTTTTCATTTTCGATCCATTTCGCCATGAATTCCCGAAAGCTACCCCAGAGAGAGAGAGAGAGAGAGAGAGAGAGAGAGAGAGAGAGAGAAAACGAAACACAACTGTAGCAGCAGCAAAGAGAACAGCATCAAGAGTGGCAGCACTCCTGCACAATTTTTGCATATTAAAATAATAAATGTTGAAAATTCGTGCTATTTCATGGCATTCATATAGCAATTACGTTGTAATAAGGCTGCGTTTCAACTCAAACTCACTCTCGTTCTATCTCGTTCTCTTTCACCCAAACTCACTCTTACTCTCCCTTCTCTCACGCTTTTTTCGAGTTTCAGAAGAGTTTTTTTTGTTTCTACTCCCGTGCACATTATCGTATTTTTGTCCGTCGTGTTTGGTGCTGCCACTTTTGTTAAATGGGATTTTATAGTGTTCTCCCTTCGTTCACTATGCAGCACCACATCAATGTGTTCCCATATAAATTTTAATAAATTGTGTAAAATTCATTTAATTTCATTTATCCTGCGTACTTCGAAAACTTTACCAAACATCATCCCGAGACGAAACACCGAAAAAATGTGTATGTGTGTGTGTTGATATACACAGGCATGGACCACTTCACTGTATGTGCTGTACGCGGCGATATTTATTTATTTGCTTGCTGAATTATTCATGAGCGTTGTGTGCGCGAAACGAGTTTGGCCCGCATTTTTATGGAGTGCTCAGCTGGTTGCTACTGCGTTTCCAGCCAGGAAATATATAAATCGTTGACAGCTTTTACGTTTTTTGATTTCCTTCATTAAAATGGGCTTTAGCCCGGTCAATGAGCCGATCAGGATTCATAAGATGCCGTTCGCTGAATTTTCCGCTGAACTCTTCGTTGAATTTCATTACGAAACTCTCTCCATATCCAAAATAATTACTTTAAAGCGTAGAAATTTTGCCAAATTTATACTCTACTGAAACTTCCCGAGTGAGGTTGCAGCCGATGCAGCACATTTTTCATTTAAAATTTGCACCATTTGATTTACCCAAAAAGTCATCACGTTCCAATTAACGCCTTCAATGGAATCGATAGCTTCAACATATTCGCATCCAACCTACACCCATACACACAACGTGATTCACATATATTCATTTCTCACTTATAACACTCACCTTAACACCATTTACACAGTTTCGACTCAATTCATTCGCGTCGGGTAGTACACGCAAGACGGGATGACACAAGAGATAATAAATTTTCAATGTACTGCCATCAGCAATGTCCTCGATTGAGCATAGAAAAGTAAAAATAAGCTCACGGAAAGCAAATAAATCTTGTTCCTGATGCTGTTCTTCGGTGGTATTGTTGTTGCCACGGCAGGAAAAAAGCGCACTTCCAAATCGGCAAAAGGACGCTGTTTTTTTTCGTGTGATTGTGCCAAACAACCTTTCTCGGAATGAAGAAAAAACTGAAGAAAATGAATAAATGTTCGACGACACTTTATAACATGGAAACGATTCAAGTTCGCGTACCTTTTTCCTGCCTCACATCGAGCTTAAAATACATCCATAATTCATAAATCATAGTGAGAAGAGAAAAAAAGACGAAAGAGAGAGAGAGCGAAAACAAAATGAAATGTTGAAATGGGGGAAAAGGCGCAAAAGAGAATAAGAAGAGAGAGAGAGAGAGAGATGTTGTGGCAGAGAAGTGAAATTCATGAATCAAACACGAAATTTGGCCTGAGAACATGAATCAAACGATACAGGATGTGTATTTATGGGCATTGGGGCGTAAACCAAACACCACAGAAAGCAACCGCATCATCAACACGCTTCCACACACACACACACACACACACACACACACACACACACACAAACGCAAACAGACGATCAGAACGCAGGAAAAAAAGAGGAACGGTCATTCTGCATCCTTTCAAATGCGATCTCATTGCCAATCCAATGCAACCAAATCGCGTCGAGGTGCGAACCAAAGTGGTGAAAGCTTTGAAAAAGGAAAATTCAACGGGAAATATTTGCTTTTGGCTACTTTTCATTCGAGCGTTCGTTTGGCATGTGCTTTCTTCCTCTCTTCCGCTCCTCGTTTTCGACAATTTTCCCTGCGACTCCCATTGCAATGGAGAACCCGAGCGAGAAACAGGGAGCGAGAAAGAGCATGAGACCGTCTTGTGCACGCAGATGGATTAACTTCCAAACAGATTTAACGACCGATGAAACAACATAAATATTGAGCTCTCGGAAAATACTTTGACGGAAAAGTTTTTGTATACAGTTGGCACACGATTGTTTTGTTTCGTAATCAAATCCAAAAATAAACGACAACAACGACACACACACACACACACACACACACACGGTGGCATTAATAGCGTTAGCATTCATCTTCCAAACAGTGGAATTCCATTCAAAAAGCGATTATCGTTGTAAAAATTTGTGAATGGTGTGTACATGTTTTGTGTTTGGCACCGAGCATTTCGTCCGTTGTTTTGGGGCCAAAACACGAATTTTGGGATGTTGAAGAGTTGTTCAAGATTTCAATTTCAACACTTGTTGTGTCGTTTGTTCTGTCGAACCATTTTCCGATGGAGTCGAAGCGAAAGAGAGCAAAGGGAACGAGGTCGTTAGTGTCAGCTACTGAAAAGCTGAAAGAGGATCTCTCACTAAAATATACAACACATCAAAAAAGCACACACCTTCAAGCATCCGAAACACTGTTCATTTGCGGATGGAACGAAGCACAAAAACGTAAAAAAAGAATATTTTGTTCGTCCGTTTGCGCGTTTGTTTTTAAATGCAATGGAAACAGAAATAACATTTTGTTATTTCTCATCTTTCGACAAAGTATTGCCGATTTGCTGTCGCTAACACACACACACACATACACACTCGACGAGCATTTTCGAGTTGATTCATTATGTTTTTTTCCCTTCGTATGTCGTAGCGAGACGTTGATTATTGGCGATGACACATTATTTACTCTTATTCCACGGCTCTCAATTACCTGTACATGTCGTCGTTGGTTGAGCGTTTAAGTGGCGCTTTCTGCGCCCGTGTATTCCACTCAACATTGTACTTGGATGCTGCTTGAAAAGTGCATTTCATTACCTCTTGCCATACATATATGTACGATGTACATATGCGCCATCCTTTCATATGCATTGCGCTCAATTGCGCTCCGTTCGTCTTCTTGCACACTGTCGCTCGCACCACATCATCATACAAATGTCACACAAAGATAGAACAAATAGTGAAATATGAAAACGTTTCATTTCTCTTTTTTGCCACGTTGTTCCTATTCCGTTTCTCTCACACTTCTTTCCGCTCGTAAATGGTAACATGTGTTTGATTACACTATCATCAAAGGATTCCAATTCGCCATTGGAATGTAAAAGTGAGAGGGAGAGAGAGAGCGCGCTATTTTCTATTCATCATATCTTCAAGCACAGATGTTGGAAGGAAACAGCATTTTCCGTTTCACCGAATCGCACACGGCATTTTCTCTCTCATTCTACCCACTTCTCTCAAAAGTTGCTCTTATTCTCTCATCTTGTTACAGACACACATTTATTATTATTATTATTATTGTGATACGTTCGCATTGCTGGAACCATTGATTGCGAGCACAAATGCTCATCGCTATCTACTTCTCATGCTCATTGCCAATCGATTGTGAGTAATGTGTGTTGAACAACCGCACAGCTTAATATCACTTTCAAGTGGTATCGACTCAAGAGTCTAACTGAGCACAAAAATGCATGCGAATTCATTTACTCAAAACGATTTAATGTTATTGAGTGTATATGTTTTTTTTCTATTAGCGGAAATCGTATTTTCCATCCAGCGCAATTGAGTTTTCTTTTTCTCCTCCTCTGTCTGACTGTCCAATCAATCGAAAAATATCTCAAACTCTTTGTCTATAGCCTCATGAAAAGAGGTGAGCACTAGAGAGAGGAAAATGTTTGCCATTGATTTTAAATTGCAAACATTTTTCCAATTCAATTAAACGTCGCTAAAAAGAGCAACCGTTCGTCGACAGAGTGGGAAAAAAGAGCGCCAGCCATCGATTCAAACACAAAATTACTATCATGTAGCAAACCGCATGAAGCGCAACACAACCGAGAAAAAGCAATTAATCGATGTACAGAGAGAAAACGGAAGACGAACCGAAGCAATGATAAAAAACGGGAAATTTTAATAAAATCAGCCCGTTAAATGGAATCAAATTAAGTTCGAAGCGATTCACAGACGAGAGAGAAAACGAAAATGACATTGAGTCTGTAAATAGAAACCAATTGAATCGAATTGAATACAGGAATCGAATAGAAGAAAAAACGGAGAATAAAGAACCAGAGAGAAAGAGAGCACATAATGAGTGTAAAAAAGACATTGGACAAAAATGAAGTGATTAGATACTGTAATTGCAGCAATTATCTCGACATGTCGACAACACAATTGTCGCATTATTATTCATCGATTGTGTTATAAGTACCCGGCGAATGGAAGTTATTTTAGCATTTCCGATGCGTGTGCAGTCAAAAGTACTTCAGCTTATTGTTTTAATTGGTAAGTGAATGAACAGCACCAAGGAGACACACTCCTTCATGTTTTGTGTTGCATGCCAAAATTTGGCAAAAAAAAGAACAGGAATTTTTGAATGGTTTTATTGGTTCAATAAAAAATGTTGTAACACATTGAACGGTGATAACTTTTTTTATTAGGCAAAATGATTGTAATTTAATTAGGTTTAGTATGCTTATTGCCATATTGGACAACACTTGCATTTTATTTAGGTTCATCTGAGTTTTATATTCCAACGGCATCTTCTTGGGCACAATATTCAAGCAGAATCGGTGTTTGTTCGTTCGTCCACAACTAAAAACCACAAAAAAAATAAATATGAACAAGGAAGAGCTTTCGTTTTTGTCGCATTTTATTCATCCGACTTGTGTTTCCATCGCTTGCAAAATAACACGACGGAATAATGAAACTTTGACACAGTCACTCGATGCATCGAGCGCGCAAAGCGAAGAAAAACTACACTCACTCACCCAACAATACCGGAAGTATTACAAAGTTTTCACGCATTGGAATAAAATTGTATTGTGTTTCGACGTGCAAAAAGACAAACACGGAAAAAAGTAGCGGTTTTTCCTCTGTTACAATTCACTCTCTGGTGCATAGTTTCAGTTGAGCTATCTTATATTATATCTATTGCACTTATTTGTTCTGTGGATTA